GCAATGTTGCCACTTTTTCTCATTAAACCATGTTCGAATCGTGGAAATTTTGGAAGATCACAGGGTTGCTTTTAGCATTTAGATTCTTAATGCAAAAATGGAGTTGCATTTAGTTGCATTTAGGTGACGAATTTTGTATGGATAAATGTACATTTAGAGTAGCATTTAGAGCTAAATGCGCTAAATGTGCTTTTACGCGTAAGCAAAAACAGCCCATTAGGTTGCCATAATCAGACCAGAAGCGAACCTGTGTCGTAAATCGAAACAAGCGGTTTATCGGGCATAGCAGTAACGGACCCACGTGTCCACAAAAAAAAATCGATGAGAGTAACCCTAGACCAAACCCAGTCCATTGTATGTTTTTGGGGTCGCTGAACACGAATCTGAACTCCGTTTTGCTCCATCACGTCTGGATTTTTTTCTAACCTCAAAAAACATCTCGGATTTTACGTGACAGAGAAAATCCGAGGAGTTTTTTGAGGTTAGGAAAAAATCTAGACGTGGTGGAGCAAAACGGACTTCAGATTCGTGTTCAGTGACCCCAAGAACATATGATAGAGTAGGTTTGGCCAAAGGAACCTTTCATCAAGTTTTTTTTTTTGAACCTGTGTAATTAATTTGGCGAATTTTAGTTTTTTGAGGCCAAGTAGTTGGTCATCGAAGCAAGTCACATCCTCAATGAACGCAGACTTCCGTTTTTGTGGGTGCAAACTGTCAGCTCAATTCTGAATACTCCCGGGGAACTTGTTCTCGGGGAATTTTTTTTCTCCCGAGAAAGAAATCCTCCGATAATCCACTCCCAGGCAGTAGCATGTTCCCTGAAAATTTGGGAGGAGGAAATTCGAACTGTGAAAGAGGTGTTTCACACTTAGAAATTAAATTAAGAAAATCAGCTGATCACAAACATATGCTTTAAAGTAAACAAAAGAAGATATGGTAAACAGATATTAGATCCCACTCGTATGTAGCTTGGCAACTCTGTTATACTGGGCACTTTTCGAATTTCGAATTCGTATGACAGTTGACTGACAGCTGATACGGAACCATATGTTTGTAAACGTTTCCTGAAGTGTCTTGTGGATGAGCTACAAAATTCTCTGGCCGGCATAAAAGCTAGTTACTTTACAATTTTAACATTATACCGCCAGGTTCCTCACTAATAAACTACCAAGATGTCGTATATGCTACCACATTTACACAATGGCTGGCAAGTGGACCAGGCCATACTCTCGGAGGAAGATCGTGTTGTGGTAAGTACCCCGAAAAGAAAAGAGAAGAATTTCCAAGTTTGTTATAATTTTATTCATTTAGGTCATACGTTTTGGACACGATTGGGATCCCGCTTGCATGAAAATGGACGAAGTCATGTACAGCATTGCGGAGAAAGTGAAAAATTTTGCAGTAATTTACTTGGTGGACATCACCGAGGTGCCAGATTTCAATAAGATGTATGAATTATACGATCCCTGCACCGTAATGTTTTTCTTCCGCAATAAACATATAATGATTGATTTGGGTACTGGTAATAATAATAAAATCAATTGGCCGCTTGAGGACAAACAGGAAATGATCGATATTGTAGAAACGGTATATAGAGGAGCAAGGAAAGGACGTGGTCTTGTCGTGTCACCAAAGGATTACTCTACCAAATATAGATATTAAGCGCTATTTTATTATTAATGACTATATAATATATGCACGTATATACAGTATATCAAATTATCACTACTATTAAGTCACCATATCGTTACCTTAATACAAAAAGGCGATAATTTCGAAATTCAGCTTACAAAGTTTAATACATATATTGCTCACTAAAAGCTTAATAGAGTTTTAAAGACATCTACTACAGCAGTAAAAAAGTTTCAGCTGTTTTTTTGAAATCCCAGGTTTTAAAGAAATTCCCAATTTTAGAACTTTGGTTTTTTTAAGTTTTGTAATTGCTCTCTAAAGAGACACAATTTTGGATGAAGCCTTTCTGTATCAAGGTAACGATATGTACGTACATCAGCATGTAATTTTCATCTCATCTATCAGCTAAGTCGGATTGTGTAACTAAAATGCGAATTTAAAAACAAATCTATAGTCTTAATTTTTGAAAAAGCTAATCTATGTGTGTTCATCACCTTCATTTGAATGGAGTAGAGCGTGAGAAAGCCTGGACATGGGCTTACTTTATGGGTAATAATAATAGTATAGAAGTTTTGCCTTCCATATGTATGAGAGGATTAATGAATGCGTTCCTAAAGCTCTCCTCCTAGTAAAAATATTTTGGGACAACGCTTGCTTTTCAGACATATGTACATATGAATGTACATATCGTCACCTGAAATTCCAAATAACGTAACAACTGAAATGGAAAAAGTCGTGACTATTTATTTATTTTTTTCATTAAACGTTGTGGGGAGTGATAATTTGATGAAATCCATCATAGCAATCAAAAAGTGAATTTTGAACTTTTTATAAGTTACGACTTTTCGCATTTCAGTGACGATGATGTTACGTTCTTTTGCATTTCAGGAGACGATATATGAATCTTGTCGAAATGACTGTTGACTCAGTTGAACAAAAGCCCTGCAATTCCTACACCTTTTACTTCCTATGGCGCCCATTTGGCGCTTTCCATATATATAAAATTAAAACGCAAGTTCTTACAATGTACGTATGTAAGTAATAGTTCTTTATTCTGTTACAATTTTTAATTTATTCAGTTACCCTTTTATTTCCTTATATCTAAAGCGCTAACATTCACATAAACTCACTTTTATTTATTTATTTTCTTTGGTTTATTTGTTTCAGTAATTTATTGTAAGTTTTGTTACTTTCGTTTATAACATTTAACTAAGATTTATAACACATTTTTTCGCTAATAACAATTTTTTAATTTTCAAAAGGATTTCGTTTCATTAACTAATTCCTTGCTTCATTGTATCGAAACACTAGTGATTTTGCTCTGTTTCTCTTGATGTTTCGATCTAAATTTAGATTGGTGATGCCTTGTTTAGCATCCGTTTGAAATTTGTGTTTGCAAAAAAAATCGAGTTTTTATTGTTTACCATTTATTTCAGTGAAAAATTATTTTTCATACGCTGTTTTTGAGCGAAAATGAAGGCAGGTTTTTAGGAAAGCTTCAAGAGAAAAATAAATACAACAAAAAATAAATAATTAAATAGAACTAAAATGAAATAGGATTAAATCAAATTTCATTAAACAAAATTTGTTAATTAAATTTTATAAACGTTTATATAAGAATGATATTTATGATTTAAACCATATTGTAGAGCGTTAGAATAGAATTTATTTGCATAAAATTAAGAATTAAGAAAAACTTAATTTTTTTCCTAACATTTTCTGTTTAAAAGTTTTATTCATTATGTTGTAGTTTACAGTGTACTTGTGCGTACCAAATATATATACTTATGTACATATATACATAAAATGTATTCTAAAATTATAAAAACTACTCGAAGTTTTAACGAAACTTTACTTAAGTTCAACCATACCACTCCACTTAAAAAGAGCGACATTGTTTCGAAAGAAAATTTTTCGTTTTTAATAACTCTGAAAAATCCATTTCCTAATAAAATGATTTACTCATTTAATATACATACATATGTATTTTATGTTTTATTATCGTTTGCAATTCTCATTTCGCTGCCAAAATACTGACATATTTTCTCTGTATTTATTAAGCTTCAGCATCTCTTTTGAATTTTTGTCTTCTCTGATCATGAATTTTTGTTACGCTCATTTATGCATTTTTAAAGTTCAATATTATATTCTTTTTTGCAGTTTTCATTAGTCCACCTGCTTTTTGTGAATTCAATTTTTTTTTCATACCACATCCGTATAATTAGATCGTCTATTTTTTGGTTGTTTGTTTTTCACTTTAAGGATCTTCAACAAATTCTTACTACAAATAGTTCAGCTAAGTTTTTGTAACTATGATATTTTTATACATATCTTTTAATTAACTTTTGCTTAATTATTAAACTTGCCTAACCATATTTAATTTTATTTTTTTGTTTTGTTTTTTCCTTTCTTAATTAACTTGCTATTAATGATCTTCAGCAATTTTCAAATTACAATTTATTGCAATTGCAATTTGGGTTTTTATTCTTCGTCTACATCTAACTCAAAATACACGCAGGAAGATGAATGAATGTGTGTACATACATATATATGGATATTTGTCTTACTTAATTGTTTTATTTGATATATTTCCATGGAAGTATGTAAGTGAACTAAATATATAGATAAAATATATGAATTCGATCCCCATATAGCAATTACAATTACAAACTCGCTTTTATGACCAAACCTGTTAAGGACCGCTTTTTATGATTCTCTTTAAGCTTTGCAAATAAATTGTGGTACATTAGACTGTACCAGAATGGAAAAAGTTCACCGCACACCTTCGAATCCTTCGCCTTATTAAATTTTTCGTCATATCTTCGGCATTTACAGTAATTTTGTTCCAAAGTTTATTGATCTTTAGTACCCGGTTCTAGTACTTTCCCATCAGTTCTCAGTTCTTATCACTCTAACATAGCACCCTAATGTCCGTAAATTAAAGTTCAGCAAACAATTGTTAATCTTTTGCTAAAGGAGTATTTCGATTATTTTAAAAAAGTATTAAAAAAATATATATATAAAAAATAAAATTGGCAAAGTGTGTGCATTATAAAAGTGGTATTATTTCTAGGAACTCCCGACTTAAGACACATAAAAATAAGCAAAACATTACAGAAGGTAAGTAAATTAAAATACATAAATTAAAACTATTTTATGAAAAATCGCTTAGAAACCTATTTTTTTACATTCTTATGAAAACTTAATAATAATAACTTTATTTATTCGCCTCCATCCGGGTCAAATCGTATATTATCTATACAAAAGTAGATATAGAGTTTTTTCTTTAATTTGATACCAAAAAAAAAAAAGAAGTGTAATGTACTTTTGACAAGAATATCCTACCTCCATATATTTCGGTGCTCTGAACGCGAATCTGAAATTCGTTATGCTACATCACGTCAGAATTTTTTTCATAACTTAAAAAACAAGGCGAATTTTATGTGACAGGCACATTTTTTGAGGTTAAGAAAAAATTTTGACATGCTTTGAACATAAAAAACATACAGAAAACATATTCCCATCCCCGAACCCTGACAATTTTTTTGTGTGACTACAGGACAGCTGTAAGCAGCCAAATACACATTTTGTCGAATATGTCACGGTTTTCTTCCATATAAAAATAAATTGTGTGTATTCGTTGTATCGAAGCAAATGAGACGAAAAAAAAATTCTAAAAGATCAACGGTAATTTTTAGCCATTTGAAACTTGTACTTTATTATACTAGAATTCAGTGGCTGCAAAACTGCATACCGCATGCTCAGAATATTTCTAGGTGTTGGATTTGATGGACAGTAATAAAGAGAGTTGCTTTTATTATTACAATATAAAGTTACCAAATTTGTGCCTATTAAAGTCTGCGGCCACGAAGTAAAAAGGGAAGATGATATCATATTAGAGATGAGAAGTCATAAAAGATAGTTGTGTAGTAATTGATAAACTAGTGATAACACTAGGAAATCTAATTAAAAAAGCTCGAAATTTTTATGAAAGTTTAATGATTTTTTTTAATATTGCACAAATTTTAAAAATTGAATTTACACGGGGTTTGTTAAAGAAACTATATTTATATAAAAAAATAACCAAAACTAAATAACAAGAAAAAAGTAAATAATATGTGAAAACTTGTCCAAATTAAAAGAGCTCGAAATTGTTATGAAAGTTTATTGATTTTTTTTTTAATATTGCACAAAGTTTGAAAATTGGATTTACACGGGGTTTGTTAAAGAATAAACTATATTTATATAAAAAAATAACCAAAACTAAATAACAAGAAAAAAGTAAATAATATGTCAAAACTTGTCCAAATGTGGTGCGGCTATAGCTTGTTCGACCACTGTATGCATCACAATGTGGGTGTAATATGAAAGAAGTTCAAGAAGGTTGTAGTATGAAAATATTTTGCAAGCGATTGTCACCTGTTCAAAAAGTTTAAAATTATTTAATAAGCTTAATGAATTATTTCAATATGGGTATCAGTCGAAATGGTTTGGAAAAGGCTTCATTTGTAAGGTGGGGTGCCACTTGTTTAAAAAATCCAACTCAACTTTAATAAAAGGAATTAGTTAGTTGAAATATGTACAGCAATGTGGGTGTCAAACGAAAGGTGGTTGTAGTTTGAGAAAAGGGTTGCCATCTGTTGAAAAAATCTAATTTAATTTAATAATCGTTTTAATACACTAGTCGAATGAAAATTTTAGGCAATGACGTGAAATTTTCGATACGATTCGACTCTCGAAAAACGACTTGGACTCGACACGACTCTCGCGATGAGGCTGATTAAGATATGGGTGTCAAACGAAAGAGTGNGAAAACGACTTGGACTCGACGCGACTCTCGCGATGAGGCTGATTAAGATATGGGTGTCAAACGAAAGAGTGTTAACAAGTCTTTATGTGTTTATGCATGTAAGTATGTAAAGTAGTGAAGTATAAAAGACTTATGTATGTACATGTATGTAGTTATGCCTGTGCGTGTGAGTGTAACCGATATTTGACGCATTTGTTTTAGATTTTGAATCTCTAATTTTTATATGTATGTGTTTTCAATTTTGTATTCCTAGCATGAAGGTACCAGTGTTTTGGCTCTAAGGACGACAAACATACATACGTACATAGTAGCGTGGGCCGAAAATCCGCTTTTTTTAGAATTTTTATTGGTAATAAGATGCAAATTTTTAGTCGATGAAAGCTAAAAAAAAATTTTTTTAGCACTTGAACTTTGATGGCCTAAGATATTGACCAAAAATTTTCATCTTTCATACAGATTGTTTTTAGATTGTTTAATGAACCATATTTTTGCTATTACCAATCAAAATTCTAAAAAAAGCGGATTTTCGGCCCACGCTAATTCATATGTATGTTTAGCCCATTAACTTTTTAGATACATATATAAAATAGTATTTTCTACATATTGCAAGTATACATACAAGTACGACCAGTAATCTAAGGTTTTATGCGTATGTTGAGTTCATGAAATTTCATAGAAAAATATGATAGATTTTTTCACGATTTTTACGAAATCTAATTTTTTGGGTGTATATTTTTGTATGTTGGTATCGATGCCTGGCTCTTGCAATTGGGTTTCTATGTCACTATGTATGTATGTATGTAGTAGGTGGGTTAAACTTTAGGAATAAGTCTACACAAAGTTTAAAGTACACCAACTGCTTTACAGTAAACAGCACAATTACAGCACATACATACATACATTGAAGTGTGTCTTCAGCCAACAAGTACTGTGTGTAATGCAAAAATGTATGTACATTTGGCGTGGGCCAAAATTTTTTTTTTTTTGCAGCCATCCCCAGAATTGAAGAATATCTCAACTGAAATTGTAGAAAAGGTCGTTCTTTAAAAATTTTCTGAGACTGCAATTCTACGATAAAATATTTTCTCCATGTAAAATGTATGGAAAACTTCAAAGCCCCAGCGCGCACAATGGTGCTAATGCAAAATTTACTATTGAAAAATGTCTAAGGTATTTTTACTTGAAAGGGAATTAAATTCTTAAGAGATTTAGGATAGAGTTTTTATTTTTGTTTTTTATATTTTTTTTGTTTTAAGTTGAAAAAAATGCACTTCGCAGCAAAAAATTTTTTGCTTGACTCCAAGGCCTTTTTTTGTTAAATGTATTATATTTTTTGTAAATAAATTATTTTTGAAAAATGAGCAACAAAAAATTGCATACGTCGTTTTCCTATAATGTGTTTTTTACAATACACAATTGAAATTTTATCCAAATTTTGCAAAAAAAATAAGTATTTTTTAATATTTGCAAATATATAAGTATCTCGTAAACGTGTAATTTTAATGAAAATTGTAATATCAACAAAATATATCAAATTCAATTCCCTTTTATTTGACACACCACTTGGTTTGATAGGTTCACGAACTCTCCAGATATTAGAAATTTTTACGATGAATTTTTTTTCTTTAATCAAAACCTTTAATTACAAAAACCAAAAAAAATTAATAAAACTCTTAATATTTTGTCATCTTTCAAAAAATAAATAAATTTGGATTTCAAAAATTTTAGGATCCACTGTTAAATACCAACTGATTTCAAAATTAAAAAATACGGTCCTCTTTATATTCGATATTCTTCAGTTCTGGATGGTAGCAGCAGAAAAATAACAAAACTTTTGCATTTTCGGATCACCCTAATGTACATGTGTTTGTATATACATTAGTAGGTATGTAATTAATTTGGATGGCGCGCAAGTGCATACGAATACATTGTTACTGATTTTATACAATTCAGGCTTTATTATAATAATTTTATTTTTATTTATTTTTTTCATTATACAATTTACAATTTTATTAAAATTTTTTTGTTCGTTATTTTTTATTTTCGGGTTTCGTGCAGTTTCTACTAATTTAGTTTACCTACATTCATACATATCTAATACGAGTATTATGTCTTACAAACATGCATATGCATGTCTCTATGTAACTGTTCTAATTGTCAGGTATGTACTATATGCACTTTGGGTGGGTTTGAAGGAAGGCATGGAGAGAAGTCCTAATTATTTCTAATCGTAAATATGATACAGCTACTTTTTTTTTTTGAATTTTTGTTTGTTTGTTTTATTTTTGCACCAAGTGCATGCTATGAAGAGAGAAAAACTAAAATGTTTGTTGTTGTTTTATTCTTAAAACAGGAAATCAACTGAAACCTCTCGAAAAATGTGCGTTTTTCAACTTTTGAGGCACACAATTCTTGTATGTTTTTTAGTATTTTGCAATTTTTTCTGAAACTTTATTATATTTGTTTGATCGTTAAATGATGAAAATAAAATGTATAGTACATTGATATACATTTAGCAGTTTTANTTTTTTATCGTTAAATCAATGATGAAAATAAAATGTATAGTACATTGATATACATTTAGCAGTTTTACAGTTAGTGAAGTTATAACTACATACATACTAAGATAGTCCCTAAAGTTGTTGCATTTTTTTTTTTGGTTTTTCTTCATAGTTTTAGTTCTTTTTTTGTTTTATGGCTGCTAAATTTTTTTTAACATGTATTGAAAAAATCTGTGAGATTTACGAAATTTTTTTTATTTGTAGTAAAAAACTTGCTGTCCTACTTTTTTTTAGTAGTTTTCGGAGTTCTATCTGGACAGAATAAAGGCGGCCCGACAGATAGAAAATATTTTCTGCGTCGCAGGGATGCTTTTGCACAGAACATGGCGAGACGGCACAAAGAAAACATTGCCGCAGACAAAACGTCTAAATTTGGTTGGTTAAAAATCAGCTGGTTTGAATTCATGCCATACATTGTTGTTTTGCGGCATTTGTCCTTTATCAGTTCAAAATCACAGATGTCAGCAAAAAAGCATCTCTGTGTCGATTGTGTGTCGATGTGTCGATGTGTAGTACGATTAAGTACATAAATACAGACCTGCAAGTCAAACTTAACGGCTCTGCAATCCATGCCTGGGCTATGTATAAGATGTGGCCTGTCTCACTAGAATGAGAAGTTTGGACGGCCTCGTCCCCGCTGCCTTAAATGAGTCACTATTTAGATTATTTTTGAAGTAAAATATTCAGGTTTAGTCGCAGATAAGAAAGTTTTATGGAAGCTTCACGTTGAACAAAATACTTCCAAAGCCGTCCCAGCATTCGGGCAAATGTAAACAGGTCTTTGATAAAACGTAGGGTCTGTCACTTAGAAGAGTACTGCGGATTTACACCTCAAGCTTTACCTAGAACATCTGGGGCTGCTTAATCTACCGCCACTTAATATTTTTATCCGGGGGGAGGCCCTTAAGCACACCTGTAGTCTTTAAGGAAATTACTAAAGACAGATGTTTGCACTTCAATGTCTTTTCAATGCCACAGGATAGTACGTCACCGTTGCCTTTGCGGGCTTAACACCAATGCAGGGCTCGGGCTTACACATTGTGGAATCTAAACTGCTGGCCACATCGGTAGTAACGACGAAAAAATGTTCACTTAACTAGAGGAACATGTCTCGTTGTTTCAAGCTGAGGTATTTGCCATCCTCAAGGCCATGAACTAGATTGTGTAAAGTGGGTGGAGAAGCAGGAGTTTGCGTGTCTCTAGTGACAGCCAAGCCTACACACACGTCAGCAACGACAATAGTAATCGTTTGACTGTATACCCATTCCAATAGCGTGGGATTGCCCGATATGTCTTTATAGCCTCGCACCCATACAACAACTACTTGTGAGCTTGTTTAGCAAATTAATAGAAGAATCGATTTGTCATCATGCAGCTTCTTAAAGAGCGAAATACACCACACAAGCGGTTTGACAAACCAAGCGAAATTTCCCTTTGCTTCAAGCCATTTGTGCTGTGTATGGGGGTGTTTGAAGGTTTGACAAACCGCCGTCAAACCTTCAAACACCCCCATACACAGCACAAATGGCTTGAAGCAAAGGGAAATTTCGCTTGGTTTGTCAAACCGCTTGTGTGGTGTATTTCGCTCTTTAGTTGCTGCTAGTTCAGTTTCAAAAACTCTGCCGAGGTCTTGCAGACGGAAACTGGGGCCAAGTGAGTGTTCATGCAGATATACCCGATTTCCTGCTTAGATCTAACTCGGAGCCAACAGTGTTGATGGCTGCCGAATCAGAATGCGAGATCAAGACTGAATCCTCCCCCTCAGTCCAAGGGGCAAGACAGTGTAGTCCAGGCGCCTGGCAAGCATACTTTCACCACTTGCGAAGCAACAGCGCGCCGAGCCTTCGTGGAAATTTTTGAATGTGTGAAGCAAAATACGAAGAAAATACTTACATATGTTCATCGATATGCAGCTGAGTCGAAGCAGGAGTCCATGTAGTAGCAGAAAAAGTACAGAGCTCCTTAAGAATTTCTTGGGGTGCCACAACCCGTCGGAAAGATAATGGAAGCAGATTTTTGGGGTTAAGAAGGCATCTATTACTCAATTAAAAAAGGGGTGTAAATATTATAGTATAAAAAGTTCCTGTTCATTCCACATAATTTTTTTACTTTCATGAATTCTATGAAGGGAAAATATCCAAAATTAAAATTAGTTTCTTCTACGATAAATCAGAAAGTTTATGAAGTTTATTTCGATGATAACAGGATCTTCAGACATTTAAGATTCTTTGAGGCGTTCTTGAAACACAATTCTCTCTGACCTCTAATACAATGTATGTGAAATTTTGGCCAGCTTATCAGCTTATCAGGTCCTTGGTATTACTCACTGGCTTTTTGGCTAAATTAATGGCCAGTTCGATTTTAGTAAAATTCGCATTTACCCTCTTTCAGTTGACATGTTGTTTCTTTTTGTAACGTAATCTTTAAAGCTAGTGAATTATTCACTTATTATTTATTTCTTGTATATGGTTTTTAATAATCCATCGTTAAGTATACTTTTTTTGTAATTATTTTTTTACCAAATACAAATAACAATTTGAATCGCATAAATTGCTCACGAAATGCTATTAAGTTCACCCGTTTGTTTTTGTATTGTTTGTGTTCTTTTTTATTTTTCTTTTTCACTTACAAATGTAAATATTTATTTTCAATTTAAACTCTACGCTAAATTCTTACATTGCAATTATAATTAGTTCTTTTTCTGATCGTTTTCGTGATGAGAATCTAGTACGTACTAAGCTCCTGTAAAAAGTTTTTGTGCCAACTTTGTGTCACAACAGCAAATGCAATTCCTTAACCGGACAGGCGAAGAGTTCAATCAGGATGCCATATCTTTACTTCATCTCACTTTTGATCTAACTTAGAACTTTCGTTTTCGTAAAGTGTTCCATCCCTGGTCCCTGTTCGCTCAGCCCATTTTAAAGATCAAACTTTGTGATTTCGATCCTAGCTAGAACAGCGTCTCCTTCGACCATTTCCGATTGTTACCCGCCATGCTGGGTTCGCGTGATTCGTCACTTTTACTACGCGCACGTTCAACATCCTCCGATGCCGATGAACTGTCTGAACTCTCATCGGTAGGTAACTTTATTAGAGGCAGTTCCAGCATAACCGAGCGGCAAGTCTCCTCTTCGCCACTGCGGGCATTGGGGTCTTGCAAGCTCAAATTGGTAGCACTTCTACTCACCAAAACGTTGGGAGAGTCTGACAGCCTTTCTGCTGTAGTTGTAGAGCTAGTGCCGGTGGCGGTGACGTTTCCGGAGCCGGATCCAGCGCCGCGTAGGATGAGGTTTTTCAGTGATGCGGGCATGCAAATAATTGGCTGTCGCGTTGTTGTAGTGATGAGCATCGAGTCTGAGACCGAGGAGGCACAAGGGTCATCATAGAGTCTGGAGCATGGCAGTTGTGGTTGTGTTGTATTCGTTTGATTTTTCGAAGCCTTCTGGGTTTCTATAGCATAGCGCTGAGTGGCAGTGGCTGCGGTTGCGGCAGCGCTTGCGCCAACGCTAAGGCTACCGCTCGTCTGATTATTGTCCGTAAGCGGACTTGAGCGACCGAAGCTGACTACCGTATTTAAGCTGCTGTGTTCGGTTAGTGTTGCAGAGCCACCCCCACCTCCGCCACCGCCACCACCACTGCCACTACCGCTGGGTCCTTGGGCGCCACCACCACCACAAAGTTCAGTATTCAAAGTAGAGCAGGTATCATCTTCTGTGGTTGTCGTAGTGGTTGGCATACTATGTGGATCGCTGTACTGTTGCAGTAGTTGCGCGCGGCGTGGATGTGTTGGCGAAAGGCTTGTGCAAATAAACGAACCAAAATGCGTCTCGAGTGGCACCGATTCAGCGATTGTGGTCGGCGTCTGGCTGCCGCTGCCTGTGTGGGGAAACTCCCTTAACTGATGTCCGATCAGCGCTACACGATCACTGGAAGGAATGCTGATTGTGCGGTGGCGTTGTAGAAGTGGGCGACGCGCGCGTGCTAGCTTCGTACCAGCCATACTCGATCCAGCGCCCAGGCTATAGCGCTTTTCGATGGGATACTTGAGTGGTTGCGATGCGGGATGTACAGCTACTGAAGCTTCGTTTGAGCTGCCGCCGCCACCACCTCCACTTTGTGTCGGTACGAGCGCTACATTCTCGCGCATGCTATTCGGATCGTGTTCGCCGAAACTGACCTCCTCGCTGTCGCTGCTCAATTGCTGCATATCCTCATCTGTGTCGGCTACACTATCCAGGAACACGGAGTCCTCGTCTACTGAGCGGGCTTCGGAGTCTTGATACTCTAGTGACGAGATTTTGAAGGAACTAAGAGAGGCGAGCGGCGCGCGTTTTTCTACATTGAAGAGCGCTTTCGCTGATATGGTGCCCAAGCTGCCACTACCATTTAGTTTGCCCAAGCTGATGGGCGTGCTATCGATGCTTATGCTACTGGAGTTGGCGGTAACAACTGCTGCAGCGGTAGCGGCTGCTATGGCGGCGGCGGAACTGGTATACGGAAAGCTATTGTTATTGTGCTCTTGCATTGATGGCGGCGTCATCTGCTCGGTCGGGTAGGCGAGCCGTTGCAGCTCGATTATTGCAACCTTTCCACGCAGGCTGCCACGGGAATCCTCCGTAGGCGAGTCGGTGTAATGATGTCCGTAGGCAGCGCTAGTGGAGGGCGTCGCTGGTTGTGGCCCTGACTTGAAGACCGATCCGGCATCACTGAAACCAATCAAACCTCTGTTTTCGAAAAGGTGTTGATTGTAGGGATATATGTCCACCGTATCGGCGCTGATTGAGTGAATTTCTTGTTTGCGCCCGGCTTGCGCGCTTTCCGGATCGTAGTAGGCTATGCTGTGTTTGCGTACAAACTTCTGTGCCTCGGTGTGTGCGTTCGCTACTTTTCGATCAGCACTTATCACCGTATTTGTAGTGCCAGTTTTGCTATGAGTGGTGATGGTAGCCACGGATGTTTTTGATGGCTGTGACTGTGGCTGTGCGTCCCTCTCAGACACTTTTCCGCACGTGGTCACAGTGCCATTCGCGTGCGCCTGCAATTGTTCGTAGAGACTGCGCTCCGACGGACAAGGGGATGGTTTCGGTGTGGGCTGTATGACCTGTATATCCGGATAGTAGTAGTCCCAATTATCAGTACTCGATGCACGTGAGGTTGTTGATAGCTTTCGTTGAAGTGTCGGCGGCAAGTTGCCCAAACCTAAGGTGAACGCTGAACAGCGTCGTTCCAAGTATGAGCTTTCAGTACTGCAACATGTCATTGCGCTGCTACGTCGCGAGTCCTGACCCTTTAGTTGAGTATAGAAGAATATTAATATATTCATGATTAGCGTACAGGGAAGCGGGAAACTTACCGCAGGCGGTACCTCTAGAAACCCACGTTTACTTTTCGTTGAATCGGTGCGTTTCGGCATGTCAGCAAGTTCGTCGAGCCGTGTCCCACTACGTGGGTAGTCGGTGCACTCGAGTTCGTCTTCTGTTTCAATAAAGTAATCTTCATTCCCGAAACTGCTGCCCATCGGATAGTTACTTAGAATACGTGACGACTCGGAGCCACTTTTCCGGCGTCCTGCGGTAAAGCTGCCCACGCCAGAAGTTGCCGAATAGGAAAATCGTCGAGGTGGCTCCAGCAGGCTGCTGTAGCCACCACCACCTATAGTTTCATAAGCAGGAATATCTTCTGCGAATTAGTCGCCAATGCAAATGCCATTTATTTACCAGCAATAAATACACTTACCCACTGAGGAAAAGCGATATCCCCGATTTAACATTGGTGGCGCGCTGACATTGCCCAAGGATAGTAATCGTTGTCGACGATAGATAATAGCATCGTATTCATCGGGGTATATCGACATGCCAGTTGCAACCATGGCCTCCTGAATTTCACGCTCCTCTTCCTCTTGCATGCAGACGGCGGCTACAGCAGCCATTTTGGGATCCTGAAAATGTATTCAAGGGAAAATAAGTGGCATAGACTTCGTTATGTGAAAGTAAGAAAAGCAAGGCAAGAAGGTGCCTAGGAGGAGGCAACTTACCTTCAGCACTTTCATTGTCTCATTGGAACTGCTGCGACTCTTCCAAACTATAAGAAATACCAAAAATCCGAAAAATCCACTCAGCGTCGCGGCAATTCGTACACCAGTCATCACGTCGTAGGTGGCATAGAACTCCTGCTGCTCAATTTGCCGCTCAATCAGACTTTTATTGTAACGGCCCTTGCCCGTATATTGCATGGGCTCATTTGTGCCGTCGTATACGAATGCGGTACTACAAAAAAAAAAAACAAAAATCATAAGTTCAAAGCGAGCTTAAAAGCAATCACACATGTAATCCTTATCACTTGTCTTACCCAGTCGTCGTCGTCGTTGTATTCGTGTTAGGTAAGGCGCCGCTATTCCCATTTGTCGCAAATTGTTTGGCGCGAGCTGCATTGCCGCCATTTTTGCGAAGTGTAGGAGGATCAGTAAATGCAATGAGTGGCATGGCCAGTTTGTCCAACATATCCGTTGCAGCCAAACGTGCTGGCTTAACGCCATTGATAATTTGATTGGCATTTGTTGTTGTTTTTATTATTGTTGCACTTGCCTTAACAGTCGATTTGGAAGCCTTTGAAGTGGAAGAACTCGTTGCTGTTGATGACCTTGAAGTGTCCGATGATGTAGTTGATTTTATCGACGACAACGTTGATGACGACGCGGCAGCGGCACGTCGTGTAATTTTTGCCATCTCTAAATAGACATTTTCTGGAAAAAGAAAATGGAAAATATAAGAGATTTTTCTTAATCAATATATAGCATGATTCATGATTATTATGGAGTTCATAGAATCTTCGAGAGTTTAATTGAAAATAGTATTCAAAATAGGCAAATTTAACATTTTAAAGGTGTCCGGAAAGTTTAATTTTAAATTTATTTTCTTGCCCGAAAACAATCTCTCTATACATCGGCGTAGCCAGAATAAAATTTGGGGGGGGGGGGCTCGACCCTATTAAGCTGGCAATTCAGGGTACTATTTTATGTATATATAAGGAAAATTTTAAAGTTAGGGGGGGGCGGGCTCGAGCACCCCCTGCCCCTACCTGGCTACGCCCATGCATACATATGTACGTNTGAATGGATAGGGGCCTGATGCCAGGAGTCTCTGGTGAGCATTTTCGGGCTAGAGTTAGCTTGTTTTATTTGGGTTGAGTTGAAAAGATCCTGTTTTGCTTCTAGCTTTTTTTCTTAAAATCATTCAGCTTTTTGCTATTGCTCAAAATACTTAGTGCAAATTTAAATAGTGTTAATATATTTAATGAAGCTTTGACTTTATCCGATATCTGCGTGGGTAGACTGGTTTTTGTTCGACACATCAGCTTCAGGATTGACCGAAAGGAAAGCAGTAGTTGCAGGACGACACCGGTGGATTTCTACACGGATGGGTCGAAGCTTGACGGTATGGTCGGTGGATGTTTCATTCATGCAGGGCGCCAGCATCAGGCAGAGCTAGCATTAAGGAAACAATAGAATGTCTGTTAAACTGCTCGACTTTGGCAAAGGAATTTCCACCTGATAGACTCATTTGGGTACCAGACCATATTGATATTGCAGGGAATCGCGCTCCGGAGAAATTGGCCAGGAAAGGTACCTTCGAAACGCGATTACCGGGTAAAGAGTGGGTGTACTTTCTTTTTAGTAAGCTTATGGGGAGGATAATAGAGTATTGGTTCTCACGCGATGGAGCTAAATAACACAATAAATAGTCACTGCTTACAAAACAATGAGATGGAATCAAAACTTTGTCAAAAGCTGCCTAGATTTTTTGAGGCTACGAAAAATATTTACTAAAGTACAAAATAAGTTGTTCCTTACAGTAATGCATCATTTTTATCTTAAAAGTTGACGCTATTGTGAAGTTATAATAACAACCAAAAATATTTGATTTTCTTGGCCATAACTAAAATTTTGATTTAATTTTTTTAGTTTTATTTTTTTTTTTGGCCATTTAGCCTTTTCTCTGAAAAAGTTCTGGCAACACTGCTAATAAACTTTAAATTATCAGATAATGTTTTGCTACCCTAGAACCCTATATCATTCAATAATGTCTCCTTCGGGGTATTCTTGAAGGGGCTGAGCTCGTCCTTTTAAGCGCCGGCACTTCTCTGGAGTATTAATGTGGGCGCTTGTGTGGCTGTGTAATTGCTATTCAGCGGTGTTCTGTATTTCCCTTTCGTCCGAAAACTTAAAGCTTCGTCTTATTTGAGTTTGAAAAATACATATCAGCTTATTGAAATGCTCTACTAAATTAAATCAAAAACAAGTTAATTGGAAACTGATATACTCTAAATACATATATATACGTACATAACTTTTCGTCATGCTAGCATTGTTCTACAGCTGAAATGCATTTTTCACTAAGTCATACGCACACAGCCACACACAAACTGGCACACATTGTTTACCTGAAGTTGCCAAGTTGGCGGCGACAAGTGTTTTGTGTGGTAACAAAAATAAGGCAAGACAAGCAATGTATGTATGTACATAGTATATATATGTATCCATGACTATATGACAACTTTTTGTTCTAAGCTTTTCTTTGTAAAAGTAAAACACAACACACTTGGTGTCAAAACTGTCGCCTCTATTAAGGAACTTGCATTCACTTTTGTACATACGAAACATATTTAGTAGAAAGTGCTACATACAATGCTCAAGTACTCATATGACGTTCATTGTCGGCATCTCTTTCGGTCGGTATGTCGTTATCAACCGCCATTGTGCGTCGAGTAGAAGGTGAACCAGAAGATGCACAAAAGGCGAAGACGTAAAAAAAGTTTATTGTCTACATCCCAGCACTAAATTAAAAATGGAAGCAAACTAGCTCACGTATGTACATTAGGCAAATGACTTTTTTACATACATATCTTTGGCATTTTATTAAAACAACTTAAGTGACTTTGGAAGACTTGACTTTGAATTAAAAAAATAAAATTTTCGCTTAAAAAATTTTATATTTTTATCACGTTACACCTGTTAACCTGCTAGTTAATCGTTGAGATATTGTGTGTTAATCGAATGAAATATTGCTTTAAGGAGAAAATAGCTTATCTCGAGATAAGCTGCTTTAGTAAAATGTCACAGATATGTACATAATGCTACAAATTTCGATCCAAATTTTAATTTTTTTTCTCAAAAGTGTTAAATTTTTTTAAGCATACAGTTTTATAGCCCTTTCAATTTTAGTGCAATAATGTGCCTAAAAACTACTGTTGATTTCTTAGATTTTTTTTTTGCGAAAGGTATTGCGGTTTTCTTCCATATAAATATAAATTGTGTTTATTCGCTATATGGAAACAAATACGAAAGAAAAATTCTTAAAAATCAACGGTAATTATAAGTCCTTGAAACAACTTCATTATTGTACTAAAATTGAAAACGCTATAAAATTGTATACTCAAAAAAAAAACATGTAGCATTACTGAGAAATATTTAGAATTTGTATGCAAATTTGTTGAGTTTTTTTTCTACAAAATTTTAAACTTGGGTTAAAATGGGTTTTGTTAGAGAATCAAGTGTATTTTAATTAGCAATTCTCAAAATTAAATAAATTAACATGAGTGGTAAACAATATCACTTTGAAATGGGGTGTGGTTGATATCACCAATATTGTAAACGAGCAAATCTCAAGCCAGAAAAGAAAAACGCTAAAGCATTCGTCTTGCATATATATATTTCAATCAATGCTGTTCCAGAAATGAGTAGAATAAAAAATAAATCAGTATTTGAACCATTTTAGCATTAAAACATTTTTTAGGCGAAAAAGTACCGACGTTATTCATTTTTTCGTTGTCACTTGAAAAAATCATAATTGCTTTTGTTTTTATTAACTTTGGGAAGTTTTCAAACAGAATACTCATATTAGAGGCAATGGACGTTGGCATCAAATACAACATAAATATCTGTGAAGTACAGGTTTACAAAAAAAAGTTTCTGCATATTGAAGCAAACCTCTATATTCCGAGGTCTGTTAGCCCCCATACGACACTTTTTTGTCAAAAATTTTACACTTCTTTCTACGAGTTTTTGTACCAAATTTTGGCAAAATCTTTATTCTTGTTGGTTTTTCATCATTTCTCATTCACTACTCGCAGGTATGTTTAATTAAAAAATGTCATATGCCTAATGTGCATAAGTTAGTATGTAGGAGTGTGCATGTAAACGCTTCACTTACGAGTTGCAGTTAATAGATATGTGTACAAAAAACTAGTTCTATATTTCTTAGTTTTTTTTAGGAACTGTGTTGGTTAACCAATGGCCTTGCTTTTGAGCCACGGAAATGATACGAGAAATATACTTTTTCATAAGGCAAGCGTTTTGTTGCACTCTTATTTTTTTTTTTAACTTTCTTCGAGGCTGTTAAGCCTAGAATTGCTGCAAAATAACTAAATAAGCTCGACGATATTATTTATAACTAGGATATACCTGGCCTGTTGCACTGCGCCTTGAAAGTATTTTTGCGCTGTTTGATACCCGTATTGTAATATTTCATTTATTTAATTAATTTAATTGAATAACATTTTTCAAACAGGTGGCAAACCCGCTCAAACATATTTACGGCAGTAAACTTTCCTAAACCTCTTCAGTTTGTTACTCATATTGCAATATTCAATTTATCCTATCAATTAAATAAATAAATTTTTTCAAACAGGTGGCAACTTTAAAAAAAATATTTTCCTCAGTAAGCCTTTTCGACAGCCATATTGCAATATTTACTTCATTTATCGAAACTGGAATTTTCTAACAGGTTGGCAACTCTAAATTGTTTTCTTTTTATATTTTAAGTTAGACCTCTAGCAATACATCGGTGAAAACTGCACTGAATAATAATAAAGTTTCAATAAAAAAAAAAATATATGTGTGAAATCGCGTGTGAACGTGCGTAATTAAAAAACGAAGCTGCGTTACCGTGTTTGAAAAAAATATTAGAAAACGTGAGAATGCGTGACTTACAAAGTCACCATCGTGAGTGAGTTTTCCTAAAATTTTACATAAGAATTTAAATAAAAATTTCGCAGGTCCAACAATTTTCTATTTCTGTAAACGTGTGTTATTGTCTAATAACCTAATTAAATTTTATCGCACTAAAACCAAAGGTGCCGCACAAAAAAGTCCTTCCTTCTCCATGATCCGTTACCTACAGACGCTTTCTAAAATGTCCAGCAACATTCACTGAAAATCACCTTTAGCAACATAAATAAGCGTATTATCCCCTCTTCCTACTTCACTTCACTTAACTCTCTGCTTTCGTGACAATTAGCAAATGCAAGCGGCAACTCGAATTACATAACCTTACTGCTGCTGACCGACCATACTTTTGTATTAGCCAAAGCGCAATTAACGCTACGGCAACGTAGTCGACAATCAGGAACTAAAAGACTGTCAGCAAACCAGCCAGCCATACGAAATCCGTTTAACAAGTGTGTATGTATGTGTACGTGTATGTATGTTTGTATGTGTGTGCTGATAGCAAAGCTGACGAACCAAAGGACACTAGTGTGGTCAGTGTTTTAACTCGTAAAGCCACAAATTGTATGCGCTCATACAGCTACTTAACTAGCCGGCTATCATTCCAAGGAGACTAATTTCATTTGCGTTGCTTAACTTTCGTATTTATCCACAGTTGTCGCAGCTATATTTAGGTCAATTGTCGTGTGATTTTTGAACAGTCGGTTATTTGATTACGAACGAATGCTGATCGCTT